AATACTAATGTCTCGAAATAAGCCAAACACGCGATTCGTTGAACGTATAAGAATTGCTTGTAACCCACAGCCGCAGTATAATAAAAATACTAAGCTTACATACCTACGCACATCTATGCTTTTATACAAATTATTATTTATATTTCGAGCAAATCGGACTTGTTTCTAGGTCTCTGGTTCATTTCCAGGCAGCAAAAGTAAACCATTTAAGCATATCACCCATAAATGTAGCCAAAATGAATACTGAATATGCATATTTTTCAAACAGATTGGTCCATTTCACATAAAAAAAATTTCAAGGAAAAAAAATTTTGGTCTCAAGTCTATTTTCCGACGGGAAGAGTAGTCTTTCTGTTTATCTAAGCAAACAGCCGCATATGTACCTAATTTTAGTTAACATCAAAACTTAATTTCCGAATTGGTCAGTCCCTGATCCCCTTTCCGAACAAACATAAGATTTTTATACAAATTGTGGCGAAAATGCCAAAGACGAATGTCAGATAAATAGGAAATGCCTATAAATAAAGCACAATCTAGAGCGCGAGTACGGAATATTCTACACATCGTAAGAGCCAGAAATTTTTTGAAGTGAGTACGGGCAGCATGAATTGGGTATATAAGAGAGAGGACAATGCGATGTTATGCTGCAACTAACCATCTAACATACCTTCCATCCATGAGACACGACTGAAAATGCAATATGAATACACGAGTTATCGACGCTACTGACAGCGGCGAAATGTTGACGGCTGCCCGTGTGTTTGCACACTTTTAAACAAATTTATAATTTTCGTTAAAGAATTTCATAATTCATATGGTCGAATATAAGCGCCAATCAAATGTATATAAATAATTAATCACGAATTTAGTTTTTAATTCTTCTGATAAACTACGCATTTTCTTCGATTATTTAAATAAGGACTATACTGGTAACCTTGAATAGTAACGAGAAATGAGCCGAGCCGGTTTTACGGAAGAAATCAAATCGCCGCTGCTTTCTGCAGGACAACCGTCAGCAACGGCATGGGTAAGCGGTGACAACTTTTCATTAACATGGCGCGCTCGCAAGAAAGTTTGCTATGGATGGAAGGTAATGAAGATGAGTGGTTGCAGCATTAGACAGTTAGGAAGTGAATACGTTGGTGACAACATCGGAGCAAAATGATTTATTGATTTAATTCAGTGCAAAAATTGTACACGAAAATTGGTGATTTTTATTTAATACAGTGATTGAACTCGAGGGTTTCGGGAAAGCATCGGGACGTATTAAATTAAAAATTGTATTAAAAACAGATACAAAAAAGATATAAATATAAACTTTAACCATTTGGTTTACTTCATGCATTTTTTTGGGAGTTTATTTATATAAAATATCTACGAATGCATTAGCGAATAGTTGAACATCTCAATACTTCTACGAAAAACCCCATCAGGAGTTCTCAACACGAAATTCAATTTTGTATTCACTTCTAGCAAATAGGTCTCGCTTATTAATTGTTCGCCTCCGTATTTTCAGTCTTTCGATCCGGTCGCATCTTAAGTTTTCCAAACAAGCAAAATTACGTTTTCACTTGGGCTAAAATCTTGAAAAAGGTAGCAACACTTTTCAAACCGTTTTGGAATTATTAAGTATGCAAAATCAATCTATCAAACAGCTTTAATTTATTTCAAAATATTGTTGAATTTAGCCTTTTTTTTATAAATTTTCAACTAGTATCATTTACGACCTTAACAATTTGCTTGTATTGTATTTAAAATTGCTAAAAATGGCATCCGTCAAAATCATTTTCTACTATAAATTTTCGTTAGTTATTAACCTAATCTACGATTTAAAAAAAAAAAAAACATTATTCACATTTTTTTTTGCTTTTCAAAATTAAATTTAAATTTCAGAACAGTTAGCTCAGTGAACTGTTAATCTACATTATTTTTGAGCTCCTGTGAACACAAATAATCTTTTTATTTAACTCGATTCAGTGACTTAGTTACAATTCATTCGCAGATACACTTACCAAAGGCATTATATGATGTATTGGTTTAAAAGCAATTCCAAAACTGTTGGTAACTCTGTTAAATTATAAATCGTTCTAGGTATTCATGTGTGCTCTTGAACACATACACAAAATTCCATAATTTAGAATGAATTAAGTCACACACACAACTACGGAGTGGGCCAGAAGCTGCGGGAGCTTAGTTGGGAAGTACTTATTCAACCACTTTATAGCTCGGGAATTGGATCAAGTGCTTACCAGCTGTTCCTGTATTTGATTTGGCTGGCCAATATAATAGGCCTCAAAAGAAGCCTGTGAAAGTCGATTGCCCTATTTTTTTGCAAATAACGATAAGGGTTTTGCTCAGAGCGGCACAATGACATTACCTTCCACGTGGTAAAAAGTTATCGAGCAAAACGGTGTTGACTTGAATTGGATATCTCCGATTATTTGTACACAAAGCCTTGAATTGAAGGAAAAAATAATGGATTACATTTCACCAAACCAATTCATTTAAGCTTCAATTAAAATCGCACACAAAATACTTTATTCTTTATTAATTTTTAATTTGCGATTATTGGCACATTTCTTTGTATTTTCGTATTTTTTCAACACCAATTATGCCTTTTCCGTAAACTCGTTTCAAATTAACACAATTCCATTAAGCAAATATGAATTAATTAATTTAATGCATCGAAAATTACTTTGCGATTACCGTTTTTGAGTGCTTTCATAATTGTATCAATTAAAACTCTTTCCTTTCTCAATGACTTAATGCAATTTCTTAATAACAGCAAAATTAAAACAATCAATTAAGAATCTTTCTAAAAATAAATATTTCTGTGATTTTTATCTTTGCAGCAAGAACGAAAATGTTATTGAATCCATATTTACAAAATTTATACTGCATTTGCTTTCATCTTCACTTCATCTTCGAATTCTTTTTCTTCTTTTAATTCGGGTCGACGTTATGATAACCGACCAACATTAGCGCTCCACTCGTCTCTTCTTCTCGTCCTCCGATATCACTTGAGTGAAGTCATGGCGTCGCTTAAAGTATAGCTCGGTTGCCGTTCATCTTTCTTTACAACTGAGCGTGGGGTTTTCTCTTCACATGATTCCACCTGAGGCTGAGGATACGGAAACTTTCAAAGTTGGAGGAAATTTTTCTTCCATTCGAAAGACATAATTAAGGCAGAACAGCCACTGTCTGTTAATATGACGTCGTACGAGTATATCCCATACAGCCCTTCACTTCATCATTCGGCATGTTGAGGTACTTCTAGAGTTTGATTGTTGTTCGACGAAAAAAAAATTGATCTTCAATTTCTAACTCAGTCAAAAGTAGCATCTGTTGGCGAGAGTGACACTGTTTTGAATTACGAGACTGGAAATTGTTATTGTGCAGGTTCCTTCAAAGACAAAATTTCTACCAAGGCTTCTGAGCAGAGTTGAGTATGCGTTGACTGTTTTTTGGGAGATACTTTGGACTGTCCTCGTTCACTTTGCTTCCTTATCCAGTCTGGAGAAAGCAAAACTAACAGCACGGTTGCTGATGCCAAGACGGTTCTGGTATTGTATATCCTCAGGTAAGTTTTCTTGGAATACCAAATTAAGATAAAACCAAGATTTAATAGGAAAGAAATCTGGTCTTAAGCCAAGCTAATAAGATCCCATTAGTTTATTAATGGTACAATTTGGTTCCTTCCAAAAGCTGAATATACTCTGAACAATGACTACCAGATTATCTTTTTGGATCCAACACGAGTGTGTTTCGAGCTTGAAATCAATTTAGTTATAGAAGTTTCGTGCAATCCCCATTTCGGTTAGCTTTTTAAGTTCTCCATACTCACCCACTTTGCCCTCTTTCTTTCTCTGTGTACGAGTGGGTTTCGTTTCTCCCTTCCGTGGTCGATCATAATGTTGAGTGGTAGACAATTTATTTGCTCTCCCCTCCAGCTCTGTCTCCTGCGACATTTTCGAAAACCAGTTTTTCTCAAGAACGGACCACATTTGCCTTATATCTAGTGGCCGATGAGTGCCCTCGTACAAGTCGAGTAGAAAATCGTTCGAGTGTCTGTCGCTTGGATGTTTTCGACATCGAATCTTTCCAAAATTTGTTGACGCTCGCATAGGCGGATAAATATTTCCTGATCAATGCTAGGTCCTCGGATTTAGTAAAACACAGGAGACGGAGGGTCTATTATAACGTGTTTGATTTCGATCGATTTTGGTTCCCATGAGAGTCACACTACTTGATCAATTTTTTGGTGCCTGAAACTGGTTCTACAGGAAAACCACATTTATAGCCTGGCCGAGCAGTTTTGCCATGGAGGCTGAATTTCCCGTCTATTGCGCAAGCGATATCATCTTCCTTGCTCGCACTGACGTTAAAATTTCTAAGATCGATTTTGACATCCGGGCGGGGGTAGCTTTAAAAAATAACATATTTGATTGTACTGTACTTCTCTTTTGGCCTTTATTGAGTACAACTCAGCGATGAATTGGACAATTTCAGCTTCAAAGGGATGTGTAATAAATTCCCGGTCTCGACGACGGATTCTCTCTCTCTCCGAAAATTTCACAAACACCCACCTTCTTCCAATTTTGTAGAGTCCATCCCACTTCTTGTACGGTCTTAATATTTACAAAAACATTATCAAGCTGGGCAATGGCACTCTCTTAATTAATTAATTCCAAAGCACGATCCTAAAGTCGTCTTACAACAGCAGACTTTTTTGTGCCCTAAGCCCTAAGCCTTACGGGCAACCACAGACGCTGACTTTATCACCATAGCCTTCAACGGGAAGTGTTTTAGTAGAAGACCAAATAATTAGTATAAAATAAGGAAGGCTACTTTAGTCATTTAAGAATATTAACTAGACACTCCCAGCGGAATGGCAGTCAAAAAGATTCCCCCAATTGCATGAACTTCTACAAATGACTTGTCACTTTTCAAACACAAAAAGGCGAGATCTGAAATTTTTTAAGAAATTTGTTTTCACTCACCTCGTAAATACATCCGGATAGTGTGTACGTGAAAACGCCTTCTCCAACTCTTCCAACTGGAAACTGGTGAATGTTGTGCGATAACGCCGCTGTTTACGCTTCGGTGCATAATCATCTAAATCCCCATCGCTATTCGCATCCGAAATAGGACTATTCGTGCCGCCACTCGCACCGGCAGTCGTCACAATACACGAGGCCGAACGATGATCAGGCATGGCATCCTGATGATGGGCTAATTTCGCTTCTTGCGGTAGGTCGTCCAGTTTGACGTCCTCGGATATGCCCATAATCCAAATGGGCGAAATATTGGTGACAATTTTTTTTTTTGTTGTAGATTTTGATATTTTTATTTAATTATGCGGTGTGCGTGAGTACTAAAATTGCTTTTACAAAGGTTCCCAAAAATTTTCAGCGCGATGGCGATTTATGTTGAATTCTTCCACAGCAACCAGATAATTTATTTGCGATCCGATTCTTTCTTATGAGCTCTCGGCTGGTGTTATTCTCTGCAAGTAGACATTTGAAATTTATACTTTAGTGAAGTACTTAAGTGTATACTTAGTTATGTGCAAATAATTTCAGGCTTGAATAACACTCGTGCACCAACACACCAATGCCCGAGACCTGCTGTCGAACTGAGGGGAATATTTTGCTGTCATAAATGCGTAATAGAATCTCATCACCATAAATAAATTGAATTTCTGCGGAAAAGTGCAGACATTGCATAGTTACAACTTAATTGAAAATCCATTCGCCTTATTGATACATAAGTGAACAAATGCGCTGGTATGCCACGAAGACCTTGGTGGTGAGCTCCTAGCTGGGAGCGTTCTCTGTGAGTGCACCGAGAGCCGAGACGCTGTTTCAGCTCGTATTGCGTTTCATGGCCATTGGTTCAACAACTTAATTAGTTCACTAATTCCTGACAAGTGGAGAGGCAACAACTAATTTGTAGCGAGACACTTGGCCGACGGACGCACTTTGCTGTACAAGCGAATTCACGGCATTGGTCACGCTTGCCAATTGCATATATACAGGTGCATTGCTACTGCCACGGAAGCAGTCAAGCACATACACACACATGCATGTTGTATGTAGTTGCAATTGAAAGTGAATTGCACATGCGCAGCTGCCAACTGCCTTTTTTACATTTTACTCATATTTTATAGTCTTTTCTTTAATTTTTTTTTCATTAATTTTACGCATATATTTATGCACTATTTGCTCGAGTGATCAATTGCACTCGCCCTTCAAAGCTATTTTTTATTTAATTCTTTCTTTTTTTCCATTTCTCTCTCCATCGCCAAATAAGGACATTTCACCCATTGCTATTTTAAGTAGGAAATTAAAGATGCGTGCGGAAAATACCAAAAGCGTCAACTGAAATTCCAGTTAAATGATTGAAAAAGGCAGCACATTTATATTTCCTCTTTACGCTGTGTCGCGCGCGAAGGCGGTAAAGGTGTCTGCTATACAAGATTGTTGGCCATGAGCCATTAGTGATTTGGTGCCTGACCATAGCATATATTAAATTAACGCAAGTGCTAAGGCGTCTGGGGACCTGCACAGTGGGGGATTTTAAAAGGAAGATCTCTAAAATTTGAAAGTAAAAGAAGGAAAAAACCCTAGTGCCGCAGGACTTAAATTTCATTTCAATGGATTTTAAATTAATTTTAAATTAGTAAAAATTCATTAATTTTTATGATAATTTATTTCTAGGAAAAGACTTATGAGTACAACCTCAGGTCTGTTCTATCAGTAATTTTGAAGATGATTTCTATGAAGACTGCCTCAACCCTCGCCCTCAAAGGCGGAAAGGCAAGAGCTGGTTTTAAATGGGAGACAGGTTTAGTATCAGTTCTATGCTGACAACATAAGCGCAAAGTGTTTAAAAACTTACCAGGAGACTACTTACAGCTATAACTGCCTCAGACCTTTCAGCGTTCTCAAATTTCTAATGCTATGAATTCTTGAGTATATCCAACAAAAAGCGAACCGCGAAACAATTGCATGGTAGCGCTGACTGTAGACAACCCAAGCTCTTACTACTACTAAGTGGAAGAGAACTTAGTATCCTTGCAGACATACTGATCGTGCATCTAAGTCTGAAATATCACCTCCAAAAACTAGGTAGGTATAATCAGTTGAGTTCAAAGTTTGCAGAGGAAAGAAGGAAGCTTTGGAGCACTACCTTTGCGAGTGATCGTTCCTCAGCCGTTAAAAGGTGTTTTTTAAACATGGGATTTTCAGGATGAATTAAAAATTTAACCCTAATGTCCAGATAAGGGTTTGCCTTTATGTTGATTGATGCCGAAATGTCTCTGCCAAAGCATCAAGCCTTTTGGGCTTATCATCGTAGACAAGCGATTTTCCACTAAAGGGACCTACAGTTTATTCTGAAAAGCCTACGAAAAGGCCAATAGATATTTATCAAAAGATTTTATTTCATGGGAAAAATATATTCGGGGAGCTTGACATTCACTGCCGAGGATTGGCCGCAATTGGAAAAATTAACTTTCTATAATATTGGATATTCACATCACCTCATAAAAAAATAGTTCAGCGTTATTGAATCACACGTCATTGCATTCCACGCCACTGGCTCATGGTGAGGTAATACGCTCATCATAAGTTTCTTTCAATAAATTGATTGTTTCGTTAGCTGTATGGCATGCAGCGCCGTCTTGTTGGATCCAAAATTGGTCCATATCAACATCCAGCAATGGAGACAAAAAGTCATTAACCATTGCTCTACTGCGTTGCTCGTTGACTGTAACATTATGGTATTCTTAATTTTTGTAGAAATATGAACCAATGATCCCCTCTCTGTACATGGGAGCACAAGCCATCTCGGAAAAAATATTGTGACCCCGCGATAAGACCTTCAATATTACTTTTCAACGAATCAAACAAAGCTTTCTGATGAAAACCTGATTTTAAGGTCTCTTCTTTAGTAATATTTCTTTCTTAACTTAAGAATGCAAAATAAATAAGTTAAAAATGCTAAAATACAATAAGATGAAACACTGTTTTTTGGTTATGGAGAAACAAAATGGGATCTACACAAGTATTATCTAGAAAATAACGAGCCTTAAGTAAAATAAACTTATCTTGCCTTAAAGAGAACTACGTATCTGTTTTCGACTGCCTTGAGAAACTTATAGATCAGCTTACCTTCCAGAGTGAGGTTTGAGTTCCTATGGTCGGGCCTTTTGGCTCATTGTGATAGAAAGAGAGACTAGAAACCAAAGTCAATGCTGTTTTGAAGCTTCGAATGAAATGAAATTGAAATTTTTCACACAACAAAAACTAAAGCTCAACTTTTTACATACGGTATAATTGACTGAAAAAAGTTCAGAACGCGTCTTTTTCAATATGCTCCTCAAATTACGAATATTATTTATAATCTTAGCGCGCGCACGCGTCTAGCATTAATTATGCCAAATAGGCAAGGCAAGCCTTTGTACGGACAATGGAACTGTAGGACATACAAAGCCAAACACCTAAGCCAGCAGATAGTAGTAGCATCATTCAGTGCATCTGTCGATGCCTTTTTTTATGTACTTTTATGCTACATACATCTTTATTTCGTTTATAAAAGTGTATTCATGCAATGCCTATTCTATCTACAACGCCAGCATTGACATAGTGTTGCAGCTGTAAAGGTAATTAACTTGTTGCGATAATTGCCTCACTTTTGGAACAACAACTTTTTGTTTTGCAACTATTGCTGTTGCTGTCAAAAGCCAAAAGGCCAGACAGAAGTCAACCATGGTAGCGGTATCGACACTCGGAAAGTAGCATTACCGAACCGACAACCATGCTCATGTTGTTCTTGGTGCTGTTGTTAATGTAATTGTGGCGACAACATTTGAGCATTGCGTGCGTAATAAATTTAAAAAGTGCGTTCATTTGAGGAAAAACTTCTGTTGTTCTTGTCTTTAGTTAAAATGCGAAAAAGTAAAATAAAATAAGAAAAGAATTTAAAAGAAAAACGACATGAAAAAATTAACTTAAATAAAATGAAATATAAAAAAATCAAATAAAATAGAGAATAATATAAATTAAAATAAAATAAAAAAATTAAGTAAAATAAAGTTAAATAAAAATAAAATAAAATTGAACTAAACTCGAAAAAAAAAATAAATCAAAAAAATATATTTTTTTTAAGTGAATTTAAATTTATTTAAAAAACTTCAGTCACTTTCATTCATAGTTGCAGTGGCACGCATGCTCTCTGTCAAGCATGTTGTCGGCAGGTAGTGTTGAGATCGTTTTTGTGCACTTGCTGTATAATTTAACAGAGAGAAATGCAAAATTGTTGCTGAATAAATTTAACAAATTTATACAACACAACAGCTCACTAAGTGCCACACTCTAAGGGGAGCACCGAGCTCTACTACTACAGACGGTGCCGTCTTCACCACTCCTGCCTCCTTTCCGCTGTAATGTTTTTCTTTTTTTGACTACCGTCAGCTTACATGGCAGCTCACAATGAAAACACAATGAAAACAGTAGCTTTGCTCTTAATTACCTACGGAATGTGCCACTGTTTTCGAGGCATACACACAACGCTGACTGTCCGTTTGCATTTTTTATTTTTTTTTTGTTTTTTGGCGGCTGCAATATTTTATTCCATTTATTTATTTATGTATGTATTCATGAATTGGCATTGTTTGGTATGTTGTTTTGGTTAGTATTTTGCATTGTTGGCTTATAAATATATGTATATATACATAGATATATGTTTGTATGTATATTTTTCTGTTACAAGCTTAATTATTTTATTTTATTATTTCGAGCTTTCTTGGCAAATAACAACTCAATCTTCAGTTTCAGGGGGTTAAATTTAAAGTTCACGGCTTGTTTTGTATTTAATTATTTTAATGAAAACAGAAATGAAGCACAGTTAGCTAAAAGACGTATGTATGTATGTATGTATGTATGTATGTATGTATGTATATACGTATGTAAATATCATCGGCATACAATCAGCGCCAACCTATTACAGAAGATGGTATCTTCACAGCTCCAGCATGTTCAGCCAGTTTGAACTTAAGGGTGTCTCTACATCGGATACCTTGCTCGCAGGCTCAGAACAGTTCCCTGGAATCTCCAATTAGCCATTCTTAGGTGCCTTCACAAGCGCATGTTGCACGGCATGACCTCAAGACAATATTCATTAATAACTGAGATCAATTAAATAATTCATTTAATTCGAGTACTAATTAATTTCGAAGTTAGCAAAATTTTCAATTATTATTTTTAAATTATTCAGAATTTTTTAATAAAAAATCTCGTGCAATGTATTTTGCACACAATCCACACTGATCAATCAATTTGACAATTCGACAGCTGTCAAGCTTTCATTAGCGCTGCATTAGATTAGACGAAAGCAATTTGAAGGCCAAAAATGAGAAAATAATAATTTATTATATTTTTTTTACCAAAAAGTACGAAAACACAAAAAAGAAAATTTTTTAACATTTATAAATGCTTAAACTAC